GTACTTGCAGAATGTTCGAACCGTAGCACGAAAGACGTGAAAAGCTATTCGTTTATTCCTTCAAAAGGTCATAACGGAGGGCTTTTTTTTTTGCAAAATCACCGTCGATTTTGCAATCTATATACATATATAAAAGAAAGTCGTGTTGGTTACACAATTTAAAAGTCAAAACAATTTCTATGTATGCCATAAGCATGTGTTTAATAATCATAAGAATGATTTGAATATTTTTTTACTTTATATAAAACAATACTATAACATCAAACAGCTGCAGACAGTGTACAGAAATTTTTGTTTACATATATATGAATATGGATTATATTGATTATTGTTAGTGAACAAGGCGTTTTTTTGGACACACCATGTGGTACCGGGGCGAACAACGCACCGCAAACTGAACAGAAAATGTAACAAAACAAAAAATTGCCACGGGTTTGTACCTAGTTTATTTACAAATTTTGCATTTGGCAGGTCCTTTTATTCCCAAGGAGCTGCACATTACTAAACATCTAGCTGCCATAACAAACTGAACGATCAGAATCAAGTGCTTGTTTTCATTTGACAAATTATCTGCATGGGTTATTGTTATCGGATCAATATTGCAAATAGCTGTCAATCAAGTGTTTGTACGAACAACTTTTTCATTTGACGAGACATTAACGAAAGTTTGCAAAGGGAAAATTGTTCAGATCAGATCACTTATATACAATCTTTTGCATTTGTAAATAGATACGGTGCAGCTGAAGTTAACGTTGTTTCTTATTCAGTAAAAACTTTTGCCTACGTGAAATTTATCATACCTGAATACATTTCCGCGTTTTTGATCCTTTAAATTTGAATGAGCATAAAATGTTCGGTTACATCCGAACTTAGTCCTTCCTTACTTCTTCAGACAAATTTGCGGTGTCTACTTGGAAAGAACACTTAAGAAGGCWGGAAATATTGAATGTGTATGTCTGGCATCAGTTAAACTAAAACAAAAATATTTAGTCAGGAAACAAAATTTTCATTTTATGGCTCAAGGTAATTTAATTTTTATTAAAACATACTCAATATATAGCTTTTAATTTAATGCCTTAAATTTCCTTTTTTTTTTAATGCATACGTCATAAACTTGTGAAACGCTGGATTTTTGGGGCATAAATTAATTTTTCATTTAGTTTATTTTGCTGATCGCACGGGTAGGGTCCTACAGTGTGTTAAAACAAAATTCGTACATATCTACACATCTATCGTCTCATATACTTGTGTACATTTGTATAAAATTAAGATTTTCGTGTGATTGTGTCGTAAAGTTAAATAGTTCAAAATTAATGCCAGCTATCATAAATTAAATTAATATAAAAGGAAAAATGGAAAATTATATGTAAAATAAAATGTTTGCTGTTGCTGATTATTATAAATATATTCATATCATAGTAGGTAGTCTGGATTTATTCAAATTTCACTTCTGGTGTTTGAGTGTTGAAAACTATACAAATTTTTGTGCTCATCCAGCGATAAGGGTCACTGAAATATTTTCCATCTAGTTATTGTTCAAATCTATATAGCTTCTCTTTATTATATTACGTGAAAAGGTGTTTTGAAAATTACGTCTGGAAAAATGAGAGAGTCAGAAGAGACGGAACGTCCTTTAAATAACTTTTTAGGCGCCTCCGAACATATGGTGTATTTTTATGCTAAGAAGTGTTTTTATGTAAGAAAACAACGTAGATTTACCAATTCTGTCAATTAACGACCGTGAGATTTTAGTCGAGATGCATTTTTAAATCCACTGTAAACAAATAACATATATAATATTGCCCCAAGATAAAACGGGACGACAGTAACGTAAAATATAACAAACTATTATTATTTAATAAATACGCCTACGAAAAAAACTATAGTTGTTTAAAATTTGATTCTCAGATTTATTTCTTAACAAACATAAAAAATGCGGCTATGGCGACGGCAGAGGTATTAGCGACGCTTACGGTTTTTAGAAATGCCTGGTGTCCCAGCTATCTCCGAACCTTTAATCGGAGGTCACCTAATACGAGATAAAGTCATTCACGTTATTTGTCATTAAAAACCAACGTTCGATCATGTTTAAAGATTGCCACCGAAGAAATAGATTCACGGTGCTATATGTTTCCACTGATCGACTTCCCTTCCGAAACCCATAATAGAATAACATACCGATATTTTTAATCTAGCCACCTAGCTACCGCTGTCTCTATGAATTATGTCAATGTCGGCGTATGTCTCATACAGCTCATCGTTCCATCGAATGCGATATTCGCTGTGGCAGAACTTATCTTTAGAAAACTCGTAACGTCGACTCATCAGATGTTGTCATCGTCTATGCCTCTACACAATATAGCAAGATGGGAATAATGAGTGACTTATAGAGTTTGGTTTTTGCTCGTTGAGAGAGGACAATACTTCTCAATTACCTACTCAGTCCAAAGTAGTACCTGTCAACAGTGACATGGGAGCTTAATCGCGAGGGCGACGACTGTTTGTTTGATGACAGCAGATATTTCGTTTTGCCCTCGTTCACTGCCAGACCTATTTGCTTTGCTTCCTTATCCAGTCTGCACAAAGCAGATCTAACGGTGTGGATGTTGATCTATCCCTTTTTTGGATTGGGCAGATTACACTTAAATTCCAATCGTTGGGCATGCTTTCAGTTCCATCCGCCCCGCCGCTTTGTAGTTCTTCAGACCGGTAATTGCTATTCGACTATCATCATCGATTGGGGAATCGGGTTTGCCTTCTTCTCGTGTTATGCTTTTACTGCTATTCAGCAGGCTGGAGAAGTGTTCCCTCCATAATTTTAGTATGCTCTGGGCGTCGGTTACTATATCACCTCTGGGGCTTCTACAAGATTATACTCCGGTCTTGAAACCTTTTAGTCGCCGCATTTTTTAGTAAAATTTTCGAGCAGTATCTCTGTCTGCCAGCTTGTCAAGTATATTTCTCATCTCAGAGCGAACAATTTAAGTACTTATCGTATAGGCCTCGTAAATTGGATCACACATACTGAGTTATCTATAAATATAAATACATATACAGTAGGTAAGTTAGCCTTATAAACATGTTATTCAAAAGTTAAAGAAATCGTATGAAAATATTTCGCCAAACTACAAAAAGGATTACTTACAGATTTAAACCACTGTGAAAATATGGTTCCTAGTGAAATTGTTCTATGCGTTCGATTGCCTCATTCTAGATGTTTGAAATTATTGATGGAGCTTTGTGACGAGAAATTAAGATTGTAAAGTGTTTAAAATTCTTGGCGTTCTGTTATATAATATATTGACAATTGATGTTCCATGGGAGTCTATGTTATTCTCTTTGAATATTTAATTAGGTTGCAAGTGAGTTATTTCTAAATTATTTTCCTTTTAAAAAGTATTAATTACTTTTTTTCTATTTTTCTCTTTTAATCAGAACATTCAATTCAATCTGGCTCACAACTAAGTATCTAAACACATTCACGTAACGAAATACTATGTGTATTTTTAAAAATCGTTTGCTTTTATATATAAACACTTTTGTAGACACGTATGTATGTTTGTAGATAAAAGTCAAATGCGTCAAAATTAACTGTTGAATGTATTGTGGACTCTTGTGGAGAGCAAAATACAAGTTTTACATCACATACATACAGTAGCGGACAGTGAAATCCGGATAACTAAAAATCATAGTTTTTCCTTATTATTTTAGTGGAATGTTTAAATCTTTTCTTCTTAAGTTTAAATCTTTTACATATAAAAAAAAAAAATAATACATAGGACTTAAAATTTTTTTTAAATTCGTTTTAGATATTGTATCATTTTGGTAGCTAGCAATATAAATAGGGATATTTTTTTTTACATTAGATAAATGATTTTATAGTTTCAGTTAAAGGAAACATTAATCTATACAAAATACTCTTTTTTAGTATTTTGTCAAAACTTTTAATAACGGCTTTTATGAATTCATGAGGTTTTTTTTATTGTTTCTGCTCCAATACCGTTATACCACGCTTTTTCGAGAATTCCCCAGACCATTCGGCTGCCTCCCTGCTTAATAGTTCTTTGAACACATTCGTCCTTTAACCGCTCATACCGTCGCTGCAAAAAGGTTTAAATTTGGACTCATCTGAGAAGATCACATTTCACTTGTCAAGTTGAGTCCAATTTTGGCCATCGTAAACGGTTTTGACGTATTTTTGAGGTTAAAAGTAATTTTTTTAGCGGCCCGACGAGCGTTCAAACCAACTCCTTGAAGCCTTCGACGAACAGATCTTATGCTAACTTCCGTACTGGCATCTTTAAGTAATTCCACTTTAATGTTCTCAGCAGTTTCAAAGCGATTCCTTAAGCTGATACGTTCCATCGCACGATCTTCTCCAGAACTTGTCTTCTTCATTGTTCCACAGCCAGTTTTTCTCTTAAGAGATGTTTTTATCGAAATTTTTAAGAAGACTTGATGTTATAAAACGTGTACAGAGCACAAATTTATGTGAAAGAATAAACGTTTCGGCATAAAATGACACTTATCGCTTACAATCGTGTTTTAAATACAAACCGATGGGTGCTCCGGATTTCACTGTTCGCTACTGTATGTATATGTATGCCGTTCATATGTAAAATGTCCGTCCAAACAATTGCAATGGTAACCCTAGATCATACGAATTAAGCGCATGCACAGAGCTATAAATATTGCTCTTTGAGCCTGGTTGCCGTAGTACTTATAATAACCTGAATAAATATGTGTATATGCCAGGCAGGAAATCAAAGAAGGAAATCGTGTATTTGATCTCTTACATATCTACAGATATATATAAAGATGTCAAGCGTCTTTATCTGTGCATAAATGTATAGATGTTATAAAATGGGTGTTACCTGCATACAATTTTCTAATAGTGCATTTTCCTGGGAAAGTATATGTATATATCACTTCTCCGCATATGCCTATAATTCATCTTCGATTGCACCTAATCCTATGAGTTGTGATTTTGGATATTGTTAGATTTTTAATATCCGATAGAGATTTTCAAAATTTTGAAAGTGGAGTCGTTATTGAGCTATCTTTAGTACTTAGTATATAGATTTAAATTCGTTTTTCATTGTTCTTAAAGCTATGCAGACAAGACAGTCAGTGTCAAGGTATTCACTTTAAAAACTCTATCTTTTGATTTAGTTTGCGAATGTATTTTCGAAAAGAAAAAGTTTCTTCTAAACAATCAGCAGTTGTTTCAAATCGCTTTCAAACTTTAAGGTTATATAATTTGCATGGAAATCGCATATTGCCGATCAGCTACTTAGTTTGTTGCGGACGAAAGAGGAGGACTTTTTTGTGTCGAGTGCGTTAAAGTCTCTAGTTTTTTAAAGTATGGAATGCAACTACCATGTTGGTTTGTATTTTAATGAATTGAAAATTGCGCGTAAAGTTTTCCTACAAGGTACGAATTAAGTTGTCTTTGCAGGTATATATATTCATAAAACGGTATGTATATATATATACATACGTGCATGCATTTATACGGGCATATTCGCGGAAGTTGATTTGAAAATGAAACCTTCAATGTTGGTGCTTTTCACTAGCTAGTGTATACCTACATGCAAAAGGATCTGCTTACTGCGCATGTACACTATCGAACTCGAAAAGGCTGTTCTCTCCCAGCCTGGTTATTGCATTTTGTTTTAAAAGCGACTTTCATACAATACACAACACAGATTTTCAAATAAAATACTGTAACTCTGTATACAATCATAAAAAAAAATAATTCAATTAGTTGATTAGGAAAAGTGAAGTATAACGGAAATATCAGTTACAAGCTCACAGAAACGCGTGTGGGAAGATTTTTTTTAAATAACAAATATCAGAGCAAAGAAAGTTAGTTTTTCACGAATTTGTACTCTGCTCGGTTAAAAATGAATCGATTTACGTATCGGAGCGCTTACGAATTGTTGCATTGATTCAATTTCTTGGAAGTTCAAAATGGAATAACCTACATAGCAAGGAAATAATATTATCGATTTTAAATGTTGCGTTTTAACGAAGTTAAATGAAACGCAAACCCCATTTAACGTTCAATGTAGTATAGTAAAGGTAAATCAATTTGTTTGCAGTGCAAAAAGTTGAAACGAAAAAAATAAATTAAAAGTATAAGTTAAAAATTTAATATACATACATATATGTACATATATAAAAAAGTGTACCAATTGAAAACCAAAAAGCTTAAAGCATTAAATAAACAATATCAAAAGTGAAACTTGGCATAGCATAGCAGCCGCAGCATACGGCATAGTGCAGCAACAACAGGAGCCAGCGACAGCACCCAATCACCTTCTTAAAACCATTTAGTAAATTAGCACCAACCCAACGGAGACGGTTCTACTCACTCAACACATATTACATTTAACTGCAACACCGTTATACTGATCCGTAAACACAAAACCTCAAATTACTGCTAATTCGAAAGAAAAAGAAATTTAAATAAAATTGCAGACACAATAGTTGTGCTCGAGCAAAAACCGAAAAAAAAACATTCAACCAACAAAATAAATTGAAAGGTGAACAGCAGACTGTAACTGTAATACTTTTAAATTAGCTCAAAAAATGGGGTGCTTAAGTAGTAAAGACCGTCTGACTAAAGAGGATATGGAGTTTTTGAAATCGCATACTCGCTACGACGAGGCCACAATTAAGGAATGGTATAAAGGATTCAAGGTAACTAACTGCACATCATGAATACTTTTTTGCTTAAAAAATTTTCGCTACTACACACACTAATGCGTCTCTATGTATATTGCTTATATACTACCGTATTTGCTATTATATGAATATGTACATACATATGTATATATGTATGCAATAAATGCATGACAACAACAACATCTGCACGCAACGTATATCAACTGTTCACTTCGTGTTACTACTTTTACTACTACTGCAACAACAACAACAACAACTCTAACTATATCTATATATCGCTACCGTGTGCTTTCATTTCATCGGCATACTTTTTTGTTTCTTATTTGTGCCGCACTACAGCAAGATTGTCCCAACGGCCGTTTGACGCCGGCCAAATTTGTGGACATGTACAAAATGTTCTTCCCGTCTGGAAATGCCGAGGAGTTTTGTGATCACGTTTTTCGCACCTTCGACATGGACAAAAATGGTTATATTGATTTTAAGGTGAGTGCATGTTATACACATAACTTAAATATTTAATAACACTGTAACTGTATTGCAAAAAGTTGTTACGAAGGAAGGAAGTCTATTCGGATTTCTTGATTGTTCCGAAAATCTACATGATTACAAATGAACATCAGTTAGACTGATCAATACTGCAAACACGCGTAATTAAGAACCCTACGTGAATTTCATAAAATGTCATTAGATATACATATTTCATGGTTAATGTACAACAATTTACAGTTGTTACTATATATTTTATATATCTGATGACAAAAATGAACTAAGCTTTTTATTTTTCCATCATTAGCATTCCTAAAAATCCTATTATTTTAAACTTTAGGAACCAGAGTGGTGTAAGAGAATACTTTACTCACTTAATATGAATATAGGGTACAGTTTGAAAGAGAGAAAGCAGAAATCTATAAGAAAAATTTACCTTAACCCAGTGCGATAGCTTTTAAAATTTGATTTTTTTGGAAATTTAAAGAAAAAATATTTATCAATTGTTTTAGAACTTTTTATATACATATTAGGGTGCTTCAAAATTTTTATTTTTGAAATTTTTCTCAACTGTTGTTTATGAAAAACGAAAGTTAGTTGATGAAATTTTAGTTTCAACGAAAAACGATAATTCCTATGTTAAATGTATGGGAACCTAAAAAAAAAATTTGCGACCCCTTAGAGCGCTTGAGGGAGGATTTTTTTTGTCAACCACTAACATTTGAGGGGGTAAGAGTTGAAAAAAAAAAATTTTAAAAAAATTTTAAAAAATTTGTTTAAGCACATATATTTACAAAAAACACATATTCACATATGTTTTGAGTTACATGTGATTTCCGACGATATAAAATAAGGTTCAACACTTCTGCAGTGATTCCGGCCTTCTCCGTGGATGAAACCTTAAAAAAATTCTCTACTAAAACACATTGCCTGTTAGTGGTCGGAGGAAAAATTTTACTTAAAATATTGGTCGTGTTTACATGCCGAAATTCTATTTTCGATCATATTAGAAACAACAGTACAGAAAACTTTATACAGGATAGACAGAGATGTATGCGGCGAATTCGAAAAATATTTGTTTGATAAAAACGATTTTAAGTAAATACTATACTATACTATACGGCTATACTTTTATATTCTGTAACTCAAAAAGTATTTGAAATAATTATTTAAAATTTTAGAGTGATCTTTTTAAATTTCTAACCTATCGAAATATCAAATAACAAAATATTTTTTAAAATTTTCACTAGGTATTACCTTAAAACATTCCGATCCTACAAGATATGTAATTGAAAAAAGCAAACATTCTTAAAAAGTGAGACATAAAGAAACAAAGATACAAAGCCATAAATTTTCCAAAATGATTCTATTTATATGTACATTATTCACAAATCTTTTTGTGATAGAAAGAAATATTCAATTTCTGCTACCTTAATTATGTATTAAGGTGATACATAGATATATAATTATTACTCTCTCAAAAGTTGTCTTTCATTCCCTTAAGAGTTCTCGAGTTCCCGTTTATGTGTTTTACTTTATTCTAACTAGGGCTCTTTTTCTATTCGTTAGCATTTATTACTGCATTTAATTTCAGTTCCATGATTTTTCAATAATTTACACAATACGTTTGGTCTCAAAAAATGTTCGTAATTACTTCCTCGTGAATAAGCTACCAATTTGTAAATTGTCAGATTTTGGTCAGAAATACACCTTTAGTTCAAAACAGTTAGAAAACACTTTGGTTCGATCAAGTTTTCAGAAGCAATTTTAACATGTGTTTTGTTCAGGATCTCTGTGCCTATTTTGACAATTCTGCTTTACCCATCCCTTTACCCAAAATCTGTTGAATTTTTGAATATTTTTTTTTATCAGGAAATTCTGGTAATAAGTGCGCAACTAAGTTATCGTTGCTTTTTTTTTTTTTTGATGAGAATGCAATTTTATTGTAAGGAAGTGGTTAAATGAATTATTTGAAGTACTGCCCATCTTTCTGGCAAAGCTCAAGCCATTTTTCGATGACGTCTTATGATTGGGACTGATTCTGAGCCAGGTCATGTGCTGTCGAATGGAACAAATAATAATCGGAAGGTGCAATAGTTGGGGAATATGACAGATGTGGTAGGACTTCCCATTAAGCGTTTCCATGCAGGATTTAGTAACGTGAGGCCGAGCGTTGTCAGTGTTGTCGACGAAACCAATGACTGCACGCTGTTTCACTTGGAACAGTATTTCCGTAAACGTTTTGGAATTCCCGATGTGCTTCAGCCCCCGATTTATTTAATCTAATAGTTTTTTCAATTAATTTTTTTATTACAGTTAGGCTATTTACATATTTATATATGAAAGGAAGAAAAAAGTGTCACATTTTCTCCGGAGTTAACTACAAAATTATTAAACGGATTTATTAAAATGTAGTGCACTGTCTCCATTTTGATCCACATATAAAAAATATCCAAGTCAGATGTGCTTAGTTGTAATAATTGCAAACCAATTTTGATTTTCAATGGTATTACAGAATCTGATTGAATTTTCGTACCTCCTTTTTCTAATCAGCTTATTGGAGTAAGAAAACAGCGTATAAATTAAAAGATAGATTTTAAAAGATCACTGTAGTCCACGTGACGCAAGTGTAATCTAAAGTGAAATTTAGCTTGCATTTACTTGTGCGTTTGCATGTATTAATATGCTGACTTATAGATTTATATCACATTATCGATGTGTTTCTATGATTTCCAAATCTGATACGTTTCGAACTAACGAACAAATAAGGCATTAAAATAAAAAAGCACATGAAATTGTAATTAAGCTCCCCGGGATAATGATATTTAAAAAAAAATGTATTTTGCTAAGTTGGTAAGACTGGCAGTACGGGATTTTTGCAATAGATAAAAATATCTTACAAAGAATATATCCCACATTTTGTATTTCTAACCAATTTACGTTTGCGAAATCGTCTCGACTCGTCCCGATAAAGCTGAATTTTTTTCAAAAGAGTTGTGATTGTTACCGAATTTAATGGCAACGCAATGAATACCATCGATCAAGCCCTATATTCACCCCATTTGAGACCGTGTGATTTTTCTTGTTCCACAAACTGAAATTTCACTCGACCGAAGAGATAAGACAAAATTGCCTAAAGAAGCTGAAGGCCATGGCAAAATGTGTTTATGAAAACTTTTTCGAGGACTGGAAAATCGTTGGCATAAGGGTATTACATCTAGTGAGGATTATCTTGAAGGCGACAAAATAAATATCAATAATTTAAAAATTTGACGTTTTATTTTCTTTACATAGGCAGACCTGTTAAATCGGACACATAAACGCCTTTACAGTTAGTTGAACGTCAAGTAGAGATATATATTTAATTATTTATCAAAAATTTTATCCAAATTATTATATGTAGGTACATATATTCCTCCACACTTTAATTTTTCTACTAATTAAAAGTCGATGCGGTGAACGTGAATCAAATAAATATAAAATAAGTGTACTGTTATTGTAGCTACTGTTAGTTAATATTGAAACCATTTCAGAATAAGTTGGCAGCCCTAAGATTAACTCCTTTCAGAATTGACCCTTGTAGAATATTTGCTGTTTATGCTTGTAACTAGAATATAACCGAGTATAAATGAAGCATAAACATGGCAATTAACAGTAATAAAGAGATACCCAAGTCTCCTGTCATTAAAAATGAGAGTTGACTGGATCTGATAGGTTTTGCAATGGAATGACTTGAATCGCCAGATTGAAAGTTTACCATAAATATATGTCAACCAAGGGATTTGTTGCCGCCGTTAAAGATCGCTAATAAGAAATGTAAAACAATGAAAATTAAAGACATGCAAAATGCAAATGTGCTTGATAAAATATATAATATTATTATTGGGAGCTAACATAGTTAATTCACTTTATTAGGCATCAAAAGTTACTCTATGTATTAAACGTCCAATTTTTAATAAAATTTCATCGTAATAAATGTTAGGTGTTTGCATTTAAATGCCCAAAAATTATTATTTTGTTTGATTTGGCTACAATAGAATATGTTATAAAAAGCGTTTATTTTGGGGCACTCTCACACTGGAACCCTTTATCCCTGGTAATAAGCATGGGTTCAAAATTAAATTAAATGTCAATGTCTTTTTTTGATTTTTTTTAGAACATATTTCCTAAAATTCATAAATTATGTTAAATTGGCTAATTTAATAACCGATCACTTTCTTACAATTATGTAGGCTGTATAAGGCATAATTTAGTAGTAGTGATACTGCTTTTTGGTGGTATTATTAACTGGTTTTTGACCAACGTCGTTATCTCACTACGAAACTCTGAATGGAAAAGTTCAATGTAGGTACTTAAATGGTCGAATGGTTTCAGGTTATGTGTAAAAAGAATGTAAATAAATGTTATAGATCTTTTCATTACCTACAATATATCTACTACTTTTTTCGATAGGACTCGTAGTTATTCTAGAAATCGAGATAAATCAATTTTAACCCATAAAAATTTAATCACGTCCCTATTCCTCCTCTTTCCGACATCAGATCGCCTATAAATTGTCTTTCCCTTAATATTTGTTTTTATCATCTTTCCGATGAGTTTCATCCTACTATGATTTTTATACTCTTACAACCTGTACAGAGTACCATATAATATTTGTTCACCTAACAGGATAACGAGGAAAGTTGATATCCGGGTGACTGTCTGTCTGTCCGTCCGTCCGTCTATACAAACTGTACTTTGAGTAAAATTTTATATATTTTGATGAAACTTGGTATGCTTGGCATGTTTGTAACCTATAGTTGATCGAAAATGTCTGTATGTCAAAAATGGATTGAATCGGTCTTTTACTCATAACAGTGTATCTTTGTGCCTAAAATAGAAACATTTGAGCGAAAGCTTGACCCAGCCTCTAGATAACTAATATCAGGATTGTCGAACATCCGGCTGACTTTAATCCATATGATTGGTTTTTTTAGTATGTGGGATGTATTACTATG